ATGAGGTAAGGTTGCTTGGCAGCGGAAAATTCAGCATGACAGGTGTGGAAATCGATTTCCAGGATGAGGGAAATCAGTTTCCGTCGCGATTTCTGCATGATGAGGCTCCTGGGACTGATTCAGGTTCAACTGAAATCGTTTCCCATATGCTGAAATCGACTTCCAGCAGGAAAATCAGAATTTCTAGAACTCTACAGGTCCTGAACAACAGTTGGTCGAAGACGAAATCGGAGACAACAGTAGACGACCAACTAGACAAAGAGGTTCACCTCAGGGACTCCAAGATTGCGAAGTATTCCGGGATGACGAGATCAATAATGATGGTGATCTCATTCACTTTGTGCTTATGATCGAATCTGAGCCCGTTAGCACGAAAGAGGCATTAAGCGATCCAAAGTGGATGTGTGCGATGAAAGAGGACTGTAATAGATTGAGAAAAATAGTACTTAGAAGTTGGTTGATCTACCGGAACGAAAGAAGTCAATCAGAGTAAAATGAGTCTATAAAGTGAAGGCAAATCCCAAAGGTGAAATTGTCAAGCATAAGGCTCGAATAGTTGCAAATAGATTTTTGCAAAAGAGAAGGTATAAACTTTGATGAGGTGTTTGCACCTGTTGCTAGGATATAAACCATATGGATTGTTGTTGGTATTGCGAATAACAACAATTAGTCGATTTATCAAATGGATGTGAAATCTGCGTTTTTGAATGGTTCACTTGAGGAGGAAGTTTATGTAGAACAACATCCTGGTTTTGTGGTGACAAATCAAGTGGGAAGGGTCTAAAAATTGAAGAAAGTGCTTTATGGTTTGAAACAAGCTCCTAGATCTTGGAACAAACGCATTTATGGTTTCTTAGTTAACGGTGGCTTGAAGAAATGTGTTTTTGAACATGGTGTCTATGTGAAAACGAATGCAAACAAAGATGTGATCATACTTTGCTTATATGTGGATGACCTATTGATCACAGGCAGCAAAGAATTGAGTATTTCTAAGTTCAAAAGTGAAATTATGGAGGAGTTTGAAATGAGTGACCTTGGAATCATGACTTACTATCTTGGCATAGAGTTCCACAAGTCAAAATTGGACTGCTTGTGCATCAAAGAAAGTATGATCTTGCGATTTTGAAAATGTGCGATATGGAGCATTGTAATGCTGCCAATACATCTGCTGAAGCGCGTGGTTGCGGCTGTCCAAAAGTGATGATGAGCAGAACGTGGATCCAACACAATATAGGAGATTGATTGGATCGTTACGTTACTTGTGCAATATGCGACCAAATTTGGCGTGGGTATTGTGAGTAGGCTCATGGAGAGACCGAAGGTGTCTCACTTGACAACAATTAAGAGGATCCTAATATACATAAAAGGAACTCTTGGTTGTGGAATTCTCTTTCTCGTAGCTGATACGAGCAGAAAATGTGATTTGCTCAGTTACACGGATTCCAATTGGTGCAGAGATAGGGATGATCAAAAGTTTACGACTGATTATATCTTTATGTTCAGAGGAGCACCAATCTCTTGGTGTTCTAAAAAGGAACCTGTGGTGGCACTCTCTTCTTCGGAGACCAAGTATATCGCTGCATCGTTGTGTGTGTTAGACTGTGTGACTTATGAATCTGCTGGAAGAGTTAAGCATCAAGGTTGAAGAAGCTGTCACACTCTTGGTTGATAATGTTTCAACCATTAACATTACTAAGAATTCCATTGCACATGGGAGGAGCAAACATATTGAGATAAGATTTCATTACTTGAGGGATCTGGTGAGTCAAGGCCAGTTAAGATTATAATATTGTCGAAACAAAGAACAAGTTGCAGAGTTGTTAACGTGTGGTGTTCAAGAAGCTTGCGATGAGCTTGGGTATGAAGAATTTGGAGCATTTGAATTAAGGTGATGTATTAGAAGTCCTTAATAATTCAAATGTATTGTGAAAGCTTCTGGGAGCGTTGCGTTGGAAACAGCTTATTAGAAAAACACTTTTAAAAAATCTGGAAATTGGAAGTTTCGAAGAGGAAATCGATTTCCACAACTTTGTTCTGTTTTCAGTTTTTTGTTTTTAGTTGGGGAAATCGATTTCCGTGTTTGAGGAAATCAATTTCTGCCCAATGTTTTTGTTTTTTCAATTGTTTTTTGGGCATGTTTGGTTCCAAGTTGTATTTTTTTTTATCCTATAAATACTCCCTCATGTATTGTGCTTGTTCCAACAAATATGTATATTTGGTATAGAAAAGCTTATGGGTTCGAGAAAACTCTTGTTCGAGAAAAAATTTAATAGGATGTATTTAGAATTGAATTTGATCCTAAGACTTCTTATTAGACTATGTACAATGGGGGTGTTGAAAAAATTATTAATAGTTGAATAAGTACAATGGGGTGTTGAATAAAAAGTTGAAAGCAGGGTGAATTAATTGATGTTGAAAACAATCAACACGTTGAATGAGGAGGGAGTGAAGCCACATATAATACTTTGTAAAATTTTATTGGTTGTTATGATTGTTTAGATTTTTAATTCACCTTAATTATTTGGAATCAATTATTTTATAATAAATTTATTTTTTATTTATTTTTATTTTCACCAAAATTTATCATTTTTTTGTCTATATATAGTGATTTGGTTCATTAGATTTGAACACACGCAAAAAAATCTACTTTTCTCTCACTATTTTTTCTATGTAACCTCCAATTTATCCACTTTTATTTGTTTTAACAATGAATATCCCTATAAAATTAGAAAATTTTAAATAAATTAAAAATATAAAATTAGAAAAAAATTCAAATAAATTATTAAATTAGAAAAAATAAAATAAAATATTTAATTTTTAATTATTTTAATTTTATTTCAATCAATAATTGGTATTAATATAAAATTATAAAAATAAAAATATTAAAAAAAATAAAAACAAAAAATAAAAATGATGGAGTTAGTTGTTGAATTTTATTAAACAAAATCATTGTACTGAGTAAAAGTTGAATGATTGTTGAACTATTAGTGGAAGAAAAAGAAGATGATGTAAAATATAAAAGGTGAAAAAGAATGATGTTGAATATGTAAACTATTGTACACTCTTCGGACACATTTATAAACAACAATTTATTTTTTTAAATTTATTGAATAAATGATATATTTAATCATTATTTTATATCAAAATATATTAATTATTTAATAAAATTTTAAAAAATTATTATTTATAAATGTCTACTAAGATATAAATAGTGTTAAGAGAAAGAGATTTAAATTTTAGATATCCTATTGTGAAAAAAAATAATAACGTGACATCTGATAATTTAGGTGGTTCTGGATTCACGACTTGATTCTTACAAGCAGGTAGTTAATATGTCAGCAATTGATTTTAAATTGAATGACTCTTATCTGCTACAGTTTCATGCTGTCACTGCTGGAAACCCTAACTTAGACTCCCCTTAACACAAAATGCACGGACACTTCAACACTAATCTTAAAAATTTAAGACAATGACTCCACAAAATACATGATATTATTTGAGGTTCACTTATTTATAGATTATTAAAAAATATTTAAAATATTTTTATTAATATTAATATGATTTATTATCAATAATATTAATTCAATATATATTTAATCATTTTAGATATGAATAAGGGTGGAAATAAGTTAAATCGAGTTAAATTTTGCAAAATTAGAATATGTCATGTTAAAAATTACAAAGTTTAAATCTGACTTGTGTCTATCATAAACTTATTTTTAGTCTCGAGTATAACTTTTTCAAATACTTATTTGATCTATTATCTTATACAAAAATCTATTTTATTTAAATATTTATAAATAAATAATTCAACTAATATTTAAATAAGCCATTTACTTATTCAAATTTACCAATTAATATAAATTTTGTGATACTATTTATTTAAAAGAAAATTATCTTCATAAATTCTTCAAAATGTTTAAGATTTATTTTTATATTTTATTTTAAATTACAAATAAAATATAATAATAACAATAATAAATAATTATAAAATATTAATAATAAATTTATTTTTATTTATTTAAATAGATCGGTCTGATAGACTTAAAATATTTTTTATGTTCTGTGACTTAATCTTTTTAATTAAATAGATTGATAAAAAAAAATATTTAAAAAAAAAATGATCTAATTTAAATTTGTGTAGATTATATGATAGGCTCCTATTAATCGGTGCGGCCTATTTCCATCTCTCAGATGTGAGTGATATTTGTTTAAGAGAAGTGTTAACAAATAAAAGAAAACATTTTTAAAAAAAATAATTATTTGAATAGTTGACAAATATTGTATATTTTGTATTATGTTGTATGAATGTCATACAAATTTCAAACAATAACTTAAAAAATATTAAAGTAAAAGAAATTATTTTTAAAAATACTTATTTAATTTTAACACTTATTTAATTTTTTCGACAAATATAGTAGAATTGTCTTGTGAATATATGAGATACGGCAAGACACCTACCCTTAGAATAAGTCGTCTGTGATCATAGTTTAAGAGGTTTGAGATTTTGTCCCCAAGAGATCCATGAATCAATTTAATGCATTTGCAACTACAGTATTCCTCTATTTTCCAATTTAATGCATTTGCAATTGTTCCTTTATTTTCAACAAACTTTTTCGCTCATCTCATCTCAATCGTTAATTGAAAAAGGTTTAAAGGAAAATAAGTGTGACAGCTGGGGGAAAATGCACACAAATTCATATGGTTGACAACTTGTTCAACATGCATATGCGGAATTATGAGATGAATGAAAGAAATAAAGTCTCATTCAAATAAGACTCTCAATGCTTCAGACCTTATCTTAAACCTATCTATGATAACGAAAACTCTGTCACATCAAATAAGCAATAAAATATTTTTAATTTCGTTAAATAATTAATGTATCTGATCATTATTATATATTAGATCCATCAATTATTCAATAAATCTAAATAAAATTAATTATAATAATAACTAAAAGGTATCCTAATTCAAAGTTAATTATTAGTCTATGTTTGATATCAGTTGTGTTTCTCAAAACCAATGTGAACTTTTCCGTTGACATAGAAGCTTGCATTTGCTGCCTCTATAAATTCACGTTGTAATAACCATGAGCATACAAAAAAGTATCTTCCTTTTTTATTGTTTAATAATATAATAGATATCTCTACACAACTATAACCTGAGTTAATTTAACAAAAGAGTTTAATCTTGACTTTGATATCAGAGTTGTAATTGTGTATTATTTATTAGATAATTGTGATATTCAAATTTTCTGTAGTCATTATTCAGCAATAAAACATAAGTTTCTTTAGGAATAGGTGTGTTCTAGTATCCGGAACTCCCAACATTCGTAGGTCACGAGTTAAAATAATTTGTTACTGGCCTCCTTCCTAATAGTTCTTCATTGTCCCAACTTGTAATTGAAATAACTTGGATATTAAACAGGGTTACTTAATACTAAACCAAGTAACTTAAGCAACTCAAAAAATTATAAACTAATATAAACAAAGCACAAAGAGAAATTAAGAATCAAAAAGAGACAAACCTGTATCACATTTTGCAGCATGAACTCTATCAGTGCAGTAACATCTGAAATTGAATATATCTGCATCAAACCCACATCTCCCTCCAGTACTGTTACATTCCCTGCAATCACTAGCTTTCCAATTCAACCTAAACCCATTTCTCAGAGCCTCTTGGATCCCTCCTTCCACACCTTTTTCCACCCCTGCATAAACCACTTCATCCCTACAATTCTTTGACACAAAGCTTACATTTTTATCATCCCCATATAATGCCACAACCGAACTCGTTTCGTTTTCTGCAGAGCAACCGATTTTGTTCCTTTGCAGAGTTCTGGGTAGCTTCGATGAGTCGCATCCAAAGAACAATCTCACTTCAGTTTGGTTATGTGCAAGATAGAACATGTTATTAGGCAAACTGGAGTTTTGGGTAGGTGAAAGTGAAAGACAACCTTTTTTTGTGTCTGCTCTTGAAAACATAGGATTCGACACTCTAAATGAATGATTTTGATACAAAATTTGGTTGATTGTGTAAAAGGTATTAGAAAGATTAAGGATTGGAAAACCAATAGTATTGTCACAAGTGATACCAAAACCAGGGAAACCACAAAAGGTTTCTTGTATTCCTTTGATGTAGAAAGGGTAGGTTATAGTTTGGTTGCCACATGTTTTGGGTTCACAAGCTTCAAAATATGGATCCACAGCATAGCTTAGAGTGATTGTTGTGAGGAAATAGAACAGGGTGACGCAGTATGGATAAATCACAAGAGAAGAGAAAGGGAAGAAGAGAGGTTTTTGGTTCATTTTGGAGATTTGTGTGATAGATGATAGAAGTCAGAGGGTAATGGAGAGAGATAAGAGAGTTGTGCCACCAATTGAGAACCGTGAAAGGTTTGACCTGCAAGTTGATTAGTATATCATGACATTCACACATCCTTTAAGTATAAAGGAGTTGTCTAGTTGTTCTTTTTGGCCCCATAACTTTGAATCAAAATCTTCCTATAGAAAATTCTGATTATGACTCAACTCATAAGACACAAAATATATATATAAAATATGCAACTGTAGATACTAATGTGTCAATAATTTAAAAAATGGTTAAATATGATTTCCATCCATATAAATATTTTAAATTTTATTTTTAGTCTTTATTAAAAAAAATGACATGTTTTTATTTCTATAAAAATTTTATTTATGTAGTTTTAATCCCTGTTATTTTTTAATATTTTCAAAACTGTTTAATTACTCTTAAACTTTTAAATTTTAGAATAATTGTTTCCATACGTGTTTAGAATATTATGAAATATTTCTTTATCAAATTTTAGAATTTTTTGAAATGAGATGAATTAAATATTATTTTTTTAAAAATTTTGAAAGTAATGAAAATCTCGACTTAAAAGTCAAATTTTGAGCTTTTTTTTTTCGAGGAATTTTTTATAACATTTTAAATATGTCTGCAAAATAATCATTCAAAAATATACACCAGTTTAACAACAGGGATTAAAATGACGTGAATAATAATTTTGTAAGGACTACAATATATTATGTTTTTTTATAGAGACCAAAAACAAAATTTGATAATTTATAGGGACCAAAAACATATTTAACCCTTAAAAAAATCGTAATATTCTGATTCTCTTCTAAACTAAAAGTTAACCAATTCTGATATAAAATTAGTATTAATTTAATAATGATAAGTTCTCTTCTTATATAAAATTAGTATAAATTGATTTCATAAAGCGCTGAATCAAAAATATAAGAGGAATGGTATTTTGGGAATCAATATGGTGAACAGGTGGGTGGACAAGGTGGATGATGTGAAAAGGGAGGTCAAGAATCATTTCCAGTCGATATTTCAAGAGTCAACTTATAGAAGGCCTCACTTGGTAGGTTCTTCTTTCCAGTGCTTGGATGGTGTAGATAGGCCTTTGCTTGAGGGTCCTTTATCTTTGGAGGAATTAAAGGCGGTGATTTGGGAAGGAGTCAGGGATAAAAGCCCCGGTCCGAACGATTTTAACATGAGTTTCTATAGAGCTTGTTGGGACTTTGTGAAGGAAGATCTTTTGAGAGTGGTGGAGGAGTTTCATCGTGGTACTCGGTTTTCGAAAGCGATTACGACATTTTTCATTGTGTTGATTCCCAAAGTGGACAACCATCTTTCTCTTGATGAATATATGCTTATTTGCTTAGTGGGAAGTGTGTACAAGATTTTAGCTAAACTTCTAGTGATTCAGTTGAAGGTAGTGATTCTTAAGCTCATTTTTAAGTGCCAACCCGCTTTTGTTGCTAATAGACAAATGTTGGATGGTGTCTAAGTTTTGAACAAGGTGGTAGATTTTTCTAAAAAGGCAAAGAGAAGGTGTATGTCGGTCAAAGTGAATTTTGAGAAGGCTTATGATTATGTCTCTTGGGATTTTATTAGAAGTATGTTGAGAAGAATGGTTTGGTGTGATGTAGTATGGGTGGATGGAAGAGTTGGTGTTTAATAATTCTATGTCTGTCCTTGTTAATTGGAGCCCTACGTTGGATTTCAAAGTGTCTAGAGGTTTAAGACAAAGGGATCCCCTTTCTGTATTCCTTTTTCTTTTGGTGGCAGAAGGTTTTGCCGGTTTAATGCACCAAGCGGTTTCTTTGGGAGAATTTGAAGGTTTCCACTTTGATGACTCTACTCACTTTAATTTGTTACAATTTGAGAACGATACTATCTTTAAAGAATTTTTGGATCATCAAAGCCTTTCTTCGAGGTTTTTAGTTGGTTTTGGGCCTTTAGGTGAATTTGTCTAAAAGCAAATTGTTTGGGATTAATCTTAACTTTGATTTTTTTTGCAGACAACCGCAACCTTTTTGTCTTATGGGTTTGATTTTACTCCCTTTGTGTTTATGGGCATTCCTATTGGCATTAATCCTATAAGAATTGGTTTTTGGGCTCCGATTATTTAAAAGCTTAAAAGAAGACTGGCGGTGGGAAAAATGGATTTTTATCTATTGGAGGTAGGTAGTTCTTTTGAATTCTGCTTTATCCAATATGCCCATCTTTTTCTTCTCTTTCTATAAGGCTCCTAAGGGGATTATTAATGACATTATTAAGATTCAAAGAGAGTTTTATGGGTGAAACTGCCGACAAAAAACACAGAGCTGCCACCAAACTTTATTTATCCCGAAGGAAAGGTAAATATCGAGAAAACCACAAGAGGTAGGATAAGATGGTCTTGCAACCAAAAGAGAGGGTACAAAAGTCGATTATACAAGGGAAATGTATTACCATCCCTCAGATCCGTTGTACTCAACGAGATCCATTTTGATTGTTTGCTTCTAAGGGTGTGTATATCTATAACTATACTTGCTAAGGGGAATGAAATGGTTTTTTTATTAGTGCATTCGTGAGGGTCTCGCAATCCTTTTCCTACGTATCCCGTGAAGGATTTAGAATACCGTAGTTCTTCTAGAAAATATTGGTTTATTGGTGTTTTTTAATGGGAAACATTAACACGCGCGTTCTAGCAATAGGCACGGCCGGTATCGCGGTAGAACGGAGATAACATGCCCTTTTGAGGGAATTTTTAATTTGTTGAGTGTTTTGTTAAGTGCGGAATGGGTTTGAATAACGATTAAGTGCTTTTGGATATTTTGATTAAAAAGAAGTTTTTCGTTTTTTATTTACAAAAGAAGAAAGAGTCTAAGAGGGAGACTAAAAAAACCCTAAATGTTGTCATGTACAAAGATGGACCTAATATTGAATGTAAAAGGGAAATTCTATCCTAAAGTTATCATACATAGTTTCGACCCTAATGTCTAATTCAGCATGAAATGATCAACATAAGTTTAATCGAGTCGGGGAATCACTTAAGGGAACATGTAACCAAGTAATCAAACAAAGATAAAGGCATTAAGTTCTTAATATTTTTTTTAATGATTTTTATCAAGTAAATAAAAGAAAATTATACTATAATATTTTTATGAATTTTTGTGAAAATAAATATTAAAACCTACTTCTAAACTATCTTTGGTATTTTTATCATATAAATAAAATTAAAAGAAAAGTAAACCTTAATTCTATTTTTATGATTTTTTTGTATGAAACAACAAAAAACTTGAAACTTAGAAAATTAAAGAAAAAGAAGTAAAGTGGGGAGTTGAACTCATGCCCCTTAGGTTAGGGCACTCTTGTCTTGCAACTGAACCAAGCTCACTTTTCTGTTATATTTACACTTTTAATTAAAAATAAAATAAAATAGTTTGGATTAAAAGGAGAAAAACAGAATAATGGAAAAAATGTTCCAGGGGAGGCTCGAACCCGGAACCTCACGAATTCAAACGCACACACTAACCATTGCGCCATGCTTTTCATTCGTTTATTCTATGCTTCAAATTAATTAAGAGCAAAACTTGTGAAATGGGTTTAAGAGAAAACAAAAATGCAGAAAAGTGGTAAAAATGCCCCCAAAGGGTCTCGAAACCAGCACCTTACGCTTGCCAACCAATGCTTCAACCACTGCACTATGTTGCTTCATTCGTCATTTTTGGGTTTCAATTAATACAAAAACAAAACTTGTAAAATGGGTTGGGCTAAAAAATAAGCCCAAACCTGAATCTTATTTTAGGGGAATAGAAAGGGGTTTGAAAACCCTAATTTGAAGGGAGAGGCGCCATTGTAAGCTCTTTGGAAAGGTTCAACATTAATCATTATTTATCAATTCCAATAAAACTTATTTAAAACAAAAATTAGAGTCATTATACCCTCTCACTCGTGAAATCGATCTCAGACTCACCTTTCTTCCAAACCGTGAAAACTTCATGGCTCTCAAATTCTCACTCTGTTTCCTCTGTTCTCACAGTTTCATTCTCAGAAAACTCCATGGCCATCCCTCACCTTACTTGAATCACATATACAGAACACCAATACATTCATTTTTCTTCTCTCAATACGACCTCACCTTTAAAACCTCATAGACATCATCAATTTCGTTTGATTTCAAATCGATATGACACACCCTAATTTTACAAAATTGAAATTAAATGCAAACCCAAACAATAAAACCAACAACCAACATGGTGATATTGGTCAGTGTTGTACCCCAAAATTTCCCTCTCATTTCTCAAGACATTTCTCACAAAGATCTGCGAAAGCTCAAGCTTGCACCTGTATTAACTAGGTCAAGCTATCTCCTCAACACATATACCTCAAGATTAGAGTTTGAATTTGCATAAGGACAATTAGACTTCTAATACTTCAAGTGACATTCTTGGATCATTGTGGACCTTCTAGAATGCTCATGTCAAGTTTCAAGTCTTCTCAGTCAATTGACCAAGAGATCAAAAATCAGTTGTACTGATGAAAAAGTCAACTGTAGCACCAAAAGTCAAACTTTGACTTTTTGGTCAACATTAAGTCTCAAAGATCAAAATTCATCAAGACATTCAAAAATATGAAACTTGATCATCAAGAAATCAAGAAAGTCAAAAGTCAATGTGAAAATTCAAACTCTTCAAGACTTAGAAATTTTTCTAAGTGTTTTTTATACATGATAATTTCATTTCTTCATGCCAACTTTTCACCATGATGTAAGATGATTCAAGGAAAACTTCTAACATGAAAGTTGTAGATATCAATGAGATCTAACACTTTGTAGGGCGGGACTTTTTCTAGAAATGGTTGGATTTTGAGTTATAAATTCATGAAGTCGTGGCATTTTTGAATAAACACTTGGAGAAATTTCCAGCAGTTTTGGTCAGGATTTTAACCCAACTTCTTGGCATTTTTCACATAGTTACAAGATGATTTTGTCAAAATGTCCAACATGAAA